GGGAGTTGGGGGGAAGTGGGCATAGGTGGTTTGGTGTACGGTGGGTAGGGGGAGTTGGGTACAGTAGGTGTAGGGGGTGGGGAGAGGGCAGAGGAGGGGAGTGGAGGGGAAGGGGGAGGTGAGGGTCCGGGGAGTAGGTGAGTGGAGGGAGAGGGGAACCATGGGGACAGGGAGGGGAAAGAGATCCAGGGACGGGGTGGAGGGGGTTCTGTTTGGAGGAGGGGTAACAGACAGGGAAGGGAGATGGAGAGAGACAGGCATTGTGGTGTTGTGTGGGATTGACCCTGTGATGTGTGTTTGGCAGAGGATGACCCTAAGGTAGTTGGGGAGACCATGAGGGGGAGAGAGAGACAATCCTGGGGAGTACAAGGGTGAGGTGTAAGAAGGAGAGAGAAACCTTGGGTGAGGAGGAGTTGGGGATGGTGAGAGATGGTAAACCAGATCCTGGGGTACAGGAAGTTTGCCTGACCACTCGCATTTGTAGAATATGTATAGGTCCCAAAAGACTTTACAGCCTACAGTGTTCAGGGGAAATCGCCCAACCTTGGAAATATTTATTATGTGGAGGTTGGCTGCTGGATTGAGCTACATCTAAAACCCACAGGACAGAATCAGTCAGGAATTTCCAAATTTGAGTGGATATGTTTTGATGCTAGTAATGATGGATAAAGAAGTTTGTCTGATAGTTCAGTGAATAATAGAGAGCTATGCAGATGAAGGAGATCAGGGCAGTGGTGATGGTGTTCCAGTTAGCCTCAGTACTGACTCTGTGTCCAAGGAATGCTCCAGAGAGGCGGTTCTTCGCTGTTCAGCAATCTCTGTTACCTGTTGTGGCAGGGATTAGGGTGCATTCCACGAGACTCCATGGGTTTAAATGGAAAGGGAAGCTGTTCAGTGACATCATTGAGAAAAGGTATAGCCTTGTCTGATATGGTGGTTATGATTTGTCAATGGTTAGTCAATAGCTGAGGCTTAAGTATATTGAACGGGTACAAGATTAAAGTTCCGGCATTATATGTGAAACAGCATTCCTCCAGGATAGGAGAAAGAAAAAAGCAGAAGGGCATCCATTTATCTAATAATGCCTGCCTCCATTCTTAACTGTAGCCAGTGAATCACCTCTTTCTGCGTTGTTATGCTTTACCATTCCACCTGCCCCTCATTTCTCATTGACACGCCTCACTCCAGTGGTATCTGAAAAGATGGCAGCTTCCACAGGTTCCCTGATTATTCCCAGTACCACTCCTCTGGTGCCTCTCTTGATGCCTCCACTGTCTCTTTTCCATTACCCTGTCTCAGGCTGAGCAGGAGTTTGCTGCAGCTAAATGTTGGGAAGACCGAAAGTCCCGGTCTCAGACGCTGCAGTGAACTCCATTCCCTAGCACTCGGCTTCATTCCTGTCGCAGGCATCTGTCTCGGGAGTGAACCAGACTCTTTGCCACCATATTTCCTGTCTGAACCTGAGATGGGCATTGGTATCTGCTTCTTCCAATCTGGCCTCTTGCACATTCCTGGTTTTTATCGCTGTACCTTTCACACTTTGCCTTCATCTGTGTGGGCCGCATCGGTTCAGGATGGCAGCTCGGTGCCACCTTCTCCATTGGCAACTAAGGATGGGCAATAAGTGCCAGCCCAGCTTGTGATATCCACAGCCTGTAAATGGATTATAAAGAAAAAGCTCTGAAATACCCTCCTTTAAACCTCTCGCAGAATCCCTGCAGTGTGGAAGCTGGCCATTTGGCCCTATCGAGACCTCACTGATCCTCCAAAGAGCATCCCACCCAGACACACCCCATATCCCTGTAACCCCACATTCCCCATGGCTAACCCACCCAGCCTGCACATCCCTAGACACAATGGGCAATGTAGCATGGCCAATCCACCCTAACCTGGACATCTTTGGACTGTGGGAAGAAACTGGAGCAAACCTGTGCAGACACAGGGAGAACGCGCAAACTCCGCACAGACATTGCCCAAAGCTGGAATCAAACCTGGATTCCTGGAGCTGTTATGCAGCAGTACTAAGCACTGAGCCATTGTGCCTCTTATCTTCCTTCTCCTTTAAGACGACCTTCAGAACTTGCCTGTTTGACTAAATTGTTAATTATCTACCCTGAAGGTTCCATATCTGTTAAAGCCTGTTTGGTAACGGGCCTCTGAAGCACCTTCTGATGCTTTGCTATATCATAGGTGCTATATAAAGAAAGTTGTTGCATTTAGTAAGCACCTTTCCTGACCTCAACAAAGTCACAATCACCACAGAGTTTCATAGTCAATGAATTTGTTTTAGATTGTAATTACTGTTGTAATGATAAAGAACGGCAGCTGATTCTGTGCATGACAACCTCCCAAAAAAACAGTGATGACCAAATAGTCTATTGTTAGATGTTGGCTCAGAGTTAAATATTGTCCAGGGGACGTGTGTGTGTGTGTGTGTGTGTGTGTGTGTGTGTGAGAGAACATGTGAACGTGCGTGTGTGTGTGAACTCCCTGATCTTTGAAGTAGTGGAACATCATCTTCTGCTTCTATCTGAGAGCGCAGATGAGCCATTAGGTTTTAAATCTGAAACTGTAGGACTCCTTTGGTGCTGTATGGAAAAGTTAGCTGGACTGTGTAGCCAAGGAGAGGCTAGAACCCAGAACCTGCTGACTCGGCGGTAACAGTGGGTGAGAGAAAAGAACGAAAAAAAAAACCAAGAAGAGAATTTGCAAAGTTTTAAGGTGTAAAGCAGGAGGTTTGGAGGGAAATTGAGGAAAAGATTTTTTTTTTTGACACCCAGAGGGTGGTAGGAATCTGTACTGGGAGGGTAGTTGAGTTGGGGAATTCTCATAATCTTTTAAAAAGTACTGGGATGAGCACGTGAAATGTCATGACATTCATGGTTATGGGCTAAGAGCTGGAAAGTGGGATTTGTGTAGATAGATCAGCACAGACTTGATGGGCCGCAGGGTCTGTTCTGTGTTCTATGAATGAATCCATTTCTAACTTCTGATGTTTGCTTTACAGCCCAAAAAAGACATTCGACTTTGCAGCCCGTGGGGAACTATCCTTCTTTGAAAGTATGGCCACTATTGGAGACATGCATGAGGACGTCCTGGTGGAGATTTTGTCCTACGTTCCTGCTAGGGAGTTGGTGAGAACGTGCCGAGTGGTCTGCAGGATGTGGAAAGACTTAGTGGACGGAATCCACATTTGGAAGGGAAAGTGTATTCGGGAAGGATATTTCAAAAAGAACGGGGATGTCTATCCAAAGAATTGGAAGGTGTTTTATTTCCTGCAAAGTTTGAAGAAGAACTTGCTTAAAAACCCTTGTGCAGAAGGTAGGTTTTAACTTTCTTCTTATTGCTAGTGTTGCACTCAAGACTGAATTGTTGCTGCGTCCGTCTCCATAACATTAACAAAGGGTCTAGGCCTCTGTTGAATGGGAATCAGTTATGAGTCCAATACTTGGATTTGTGTCTGTACAGAAGCAAGAAATGGAAAAAAAACCCACAAATGTGGCTTCGAAAAAAAAAATGGCGCAGAGTGATTTAAAATGACTTGTTCATTAAATGAAAGCAAAATACCTCAGATGCTTGAAATCAAAAACAAACACAGAAATTGTGGAGAAACTCAGCAGGTCTGGCAGCATCTGTGGAAAGAGAAACCAAATTAAAACTTGGAGTCCGAAGAGACTCAATTTTTTTTCTTTTAGGCTATATTAGAGTAGGTGATTTATTTGACTACTGTGGTCTTTGTCCCCCTGATCTTCCATCTCGTGCTGCTGTATAAGTACTGGTGGAAATGACCCTCTGTCTTTGCATTGCCATTAGTGGATATATACCAGACCATTTAGATGTTTGTGTATATTTTTGAATTTAGAAGCAAGACAGACATTTGTAATACTTTGTTGTGAATATAATTCAGGTTTGATGCTATTATTTGGATTGTTGTTTAATTGCTGTGTCTCATAATCTGTTGATTCTTCAGGAATGGTCTTTTGATTCCTGGTTTACATCACCTGCAGACACTGTGACTGGACAATGTTAGCAATGGGCTGGAGTTGTTTGACAGGGAACTGTTCCATTGTGTCTGTGTCTTGGTTGACTGCTCGCTGTGGTTATCAGTGGTTCCAGAAACTGAAACCAAACAATGAACCACACGGCTGCAGTTATTTTGACGTATCATGAAAAGGTCATTTTCCCACACACAGACCGATGACTGTCCTCTGTGAGACACAAAACACTGTATTCTTTTCTTTATTCATTCGTGGGATGAGGGCGTTACTGGCTATAAACGTGGCAAACAGTTTAAATTCATGGCTTCAGTACCTTTCTTTCACTGGGAGATCCACTCTTGCAATGGAATTGATAGATTTCAGGGTTCAAGGCTTGCTATCAACACGAATGAACAGCAGAGATCCATCAGTGTCTCACAAGAAAGTCATTCTTGTACGTTGCCTTGAATCAGAAGGCCTGTGAATATTCCAGTGATTCACAAAAGACCGGTCTCCCTTTGACGTGACAGTAAGTGTTTGCAAGAAATACTTTGAGCCAAAGAAAAATTTGATGCCAGAGATACGGTGAACCCATTGAACAATATGTGGTAATATTGCAGCAATAGTCTTCCACGTATAGATTTAGCACACTAACCGAAGAACTAATTCATGACCAATAAATTGAAAACACTGAAATTCCATAAAATAGGAAATACCCACATGTGGAATCATAGAGTCATGCAGCATGGAAGCTGACCCTTTGGTCCAACCGGTCCGCATCGAACATGATCCCGAACTAAATTAGTCGCACCTACCTGCTCCTGGCCCATATCCTTCCAAACCTTTCCTATTCGTGTCTTTTAAATATTGTAACTGTACCAACATCCACCACTTCATCTGGAAGTTCATTCTACATGCAAGCTATCCTCTGTTAAGACCCCTTAGGTCTTTTTTAAATCAGTCTCCTCTTATGTTAAAAATATGTCCCCTAGTCTTGAAATGCCCCATCCTAGGGAAAAGGCAACTACTATTAACTCTATCTATACCCCTCATGATAAGGTCATCTCTCAACCTCCTATGCTCCAGCCAAAAAAGTCCCAGCCTATCCAGCCTTTCTTTATAACTCAATCCTTCCATACCCGGAAACATCCCGGTAAACCTCTCCAGCTTGATATCCTTCCTATAATTGGGCGACCAGAAGTGGACACAGTATTCCAGAATAGGTCTGATCAATGACCCGTACAACCTCAACATGATGTCCTAACTCCTGTACTCAAAGGACTGAGCAATGAAGGCAAGTGTACTAAACATCTTTTTAACCTCCCCGTCTACCTTTGGAAAAAGCCAGACCTTCAAATCAAATCCGCCTTATTAGATTCAAAGATGTTACAGAGAAATACCATCTCCAGGATGTGGACACAGCCTATCCAACCAGCTCATCTACAAAAGGTTATGGACAAGAAGACTTTAGCTATCTTGTCAACAATGGCTGAGTCACAGACCCCAACAAAATTTATGCCTCCTGCTGAAATGGACCAAGGTAGCAGATAAATGTATCTGTCTTGGTGGTGGGGACTGCAGGTTTGCAAGATGTTGAAGGATTCTGGGTGAATTGAAATTACTCAAAGCAGATGATATAGTTGAGCGAATCAGTTCACCTCCATGGATATCAAATGAAGTCATTGCTGGCCACAAAAATTGCACACTTAGTTAGTCAATTGAGCAATCATTTCAGGTGAATATCCACTTCCTAGGGTCCATGAAGTATCCAATTCATTTCAGGACTCCACACTCTTCACAACACTCAACATATGATGGAGCTTTCTTCAGATACCTGCCACGCAAAGCAGATATCTGACAATTTTTGTTATTTACGAAGTTGTGTTTCACTTCCACAGAATGCCCAATCAGCTAAGTTCTTAACCAATTGCAGTCCAGATGATTTTTCTTCAGACTTATCAGACTGAACCTAATTAATGTCATTGTCTGTGGAAGGGACAAAGCAGAACATGATCTGCGGTGCTCACTTGACTCAGATCTCACAGTTTGCTGAACAAAGACAAAGGCATACGTGTGGCATCTGAGTTGACTTTCTAGGGTCTACAGTGACAGCAGTTGGTTAAAGCCATTCATGTGCTTCTTAACTTTTTAAGGTGAAAGAGTTGGTGTTGTTTCCCCATACTACGAACTGTTCTCAGAAATTTCTTCTCAAGTACGTACAGATTGTGAAGCCTGATCAGAAGCAACGATGTAAAATGGGAATGGGCAGTCACACAGCAATGTCTGACACATTACATATGAAGCTAGCATCTCTACTACACCTCGTGCAGTTTAACCCGCATTGGGAACACATGTCATAACAGATGCATCAGGAAATACTGTTGGATCTGTACTTTCACAGTACATTGAAGGAAGTGTATCACTGCCAATGAATCATGCCCATTATTGGAAACTGAGTGCAGATTCTTTGCTGGTGTGTGCGAAGCAGTTACCTGCATCTATTCATTAGAGCATTGGCCCATATAACTATGCAACAGGGTTACAGGGAAATGGTGTAGAGGGTGGGTCTGGGTGGGATGCTCTTCAGAGGGTCGGTGTGTACTTGATGGGCCAAATGGCCAGCTTCCACATTGTGGGGATTCTGTGTTGAGTAGAAAGCTCCCTCATCACACTGATTATCGATCTCTGACCACGTTGTTAGCCACATCAGGAACAGGTCTTTGAACTTTACACATCTATGATGTGGAAATGCTGGTGTTGGACTAGGGTGGACAAAGTCAGGAGTCAGATGACACCATGTTATAGTCCAACAGGTTCGTTTGAAATCACAAGCTTTCAGAGCACTGCTCCTTCGTCAGGTGATTTCAAATAAACATGTTGGACTGTAAGCTGGTTTTGTTTGATTTCTGACTTTCTGCACACATCGACATAGCCAGATCGTCATCTTCATTACTTACTCATTATTCATTGAGTATTTGCAGGTTCATGCAACTAACTAGCCGATGTGCTTTGCGGTATTACTATCGCAGATAACGTTTGTGATTGTGAAGTAACTTGTGATGTTGAAGACAAAACTGCAGGGAATCTGGTCACTTAAGAAGAGGTGAAGGCAGAATCAGCGGCGCACAGTGTGTTGCAGAAAGCAGGAGACCGTACCTAGAAACCGGGCAGTCGAGAGGACCTGATCCTGTACCGCAGAGTATGCAACAAACACACAATGTTTGATAACACCTGCAATTGCATGTGCAACGCGAGCAGTTATTTTGAAAGCACTGCAGCGACGTGTGTGCCATTTTGCCCGAGAGTAACACCTGCCACTGTCCTTGAGATGAACAAAGTGATTGGTCGGGCCTTTAGCAATATTTTGATGTACAGCAAAATTCCTTAGAAGCTGTGTAAAATGTACACTCTGTGTGAGATCAATTCAATTATACCCTACACAGAGTAAAATTCTGAACCTGCTGTTGTGGTGGTTTAGCTGTGTGATGGAGCATAATGAAAGTTCTTCTTGCTGATTTAATCTACCTCCTTTTATTTTCTTTTCCTATAGAAGGTTTTAATCATTGGACAATTGACCATAATGGTGGTGATAACTGGAAAATAGAAGCCTTACCAGGTGGCCTTGGATCTGCCTTTCCTGATAGACATATAAAAAATTATTTTGTGACATCTTATGGGTAAGGATTCCATTGCACAGTGACTATCAGACACAGCTCACTCCATAAACCACCTCGGCACTGCCACTCATTACCTTTCCTCGTCATGTGGAAGTACAATTTCAGCACTTAGTCCATTAGTCACGTTGCCTTTGGAAACTTGAGTCTAACATCTTTTTATCCCTTCACCATTCTCAACTTGGGATGAAATTTAACTATTGTCTGAGTAATGCTGCAACAGCTGGTTAGATCCCTTTTGCAATGTCCCCTAAATGGCGAAAACGAAATCCCTCCATCTTGTATATCATCATTCTTACACATCTAGTCTTTCAACCTTTATCTCTTTCTCTCTCCCTCGCTCCCACTCACTCCCGCGCTCTCCCTCGCTTCCGCTCCCTCTCTCTCTCTCTTGCTCCCTCTCTCTCATTCTCTGATGCACACACTCTTGTACACAGTGGAAGATAATTGTGGTTGTTGAAAGCCAGTCGTCTCAGCTCCATGGCATCTCTGCAGGAGTTCCTCAGGATAATGCCCGAGGCCTGACTGTCAGCTGCTTCATCAATGACCTTCAGTGTCATTCAAGACTCCTCAGATACTGAAGCAGTCCATGTCCATGTCCAATCTTCAGATTTGAGGTGACAAGTAGCAAGTAATATTTGCACTACACAAGGTCCTGTCAATGACCAGCTCCAACAAGAGAGAATGTAACTATTGCCCCTTGGCATTCATGGGCATTGCCATTTCTGAACTGAACCCAACTGTCAACATCCTGCAGGTTACCATTGACCAGAAACAGAACTGGACCAGCCATGCAATTACTGTGACCACAAAAGCAGGTCAAAGGCAGTGAGTAAGTCACCTACTGACTCCCCAGAGCTTATCCACCTAAAAGGCACTAGTCAGAGGTGTGATGGAATACTCTCCACTTGCCTGGATAGGTGCAGCTCCAACAAGAGCTTGACATCATCCAGGACAAAGCAGCCCACTTGATTGGCATCACATCCACAAGCATCCACTCCCTCCACCACTGACGCTCATGGGCAGCAGTGTGTACCATCTATAAGATGCACTGCAGAAGTTCACCAAGGCTGTTTAGACAGTACCTTCGAGACCCATGGTCATTACTATTTGGAAGGACAAGTGCAACAATTTGGGAACCAAGTTCCTTTCCAAGTCACTCTCAATCCTGACTAGGAAATATATCAGCATTGCTTTCCTGTCACCGGGTCAAAAGCCTGGAACTCCATGCCTAATGGCAATATAGATGTACCTACACCTGGTGGACTGCAGTTTATGAAGGTAGTTCAATACCACTTCCTCAAGGGCAATTAGTGGTTCCCTACCCATTGCCCATATCCCTGATGAATGTATTAAATGAAAGCACGTACTTCAAAGTACAACCACTCATCTTGCTTACCACTCTCGCCCTCTCCCATCCTTTGTTCTATTCTCATTGTTTCAATTTCTCTCTCTGCCCTGTCTGCCCTTGCACTCTTGCTTTTTCTCTCCTGCTCTTGCTCATTCTCTCATTTGCGTGCTCTCACCATTTCTTTGCTGTCATGTCTCTCTGTTGCTCTTGCCCTCGCTGTTTCTTCTTCTCTTTGTCTGTCTTTCTCTGCCTCTGTCACCGTGTGTCTGTCTATCTGTCTCTCCTTCGCACGCTCTCTCTCTTCCCTCTTGTGCTTGTTCTCTCTCAATGTCTCTTACATGTTCCCACCCCCCACCTTCAAACACCTGGGACTTGATGCCTCCTGACTGTTCATTCTCCACCCCATCTCCTTTCCCACATTTCTTTACATTCCACTTCAGTACTCATCAGGCTACAATTTGGACCTCTGTCCATTTGGTATTGAATTAAAAGGGAAGTTCTCCTCAGGTGAAACAGTTTGTTGATATTGTTTACTGCCATACTCTAAGGCCTTGTGGTTGGTTTGAACTAGCTCATCCTGTTTGAAGACGGCATTGGTTGACCTAGCCCTTGAGCTGGAAGCAGTTGTGAAGAAGCGAGTAGATTTTGTGAAGAAAAGAAATGCAGATAATGGGTAACTGCAGCTTTTATTCAAGCTTATCAATCCTGGGTGGTCACTGGCTCGTCTGGATTAGGCTTTGGCCCATCAGCAGACCCAACACAGACCCAAGGGTCATCCAGGGCTCATCCACCTTCTGTGCAGTGGTGGCCCACTGCAGCTTCCAATGGATTGGATGGAAAACTCGCCCTTTGACATTTTTCTACTGGGACAGTCCTAGCTGATTTTTCAGCACTCTGTCCTTCAAGTCAAAGGGTTCAAGTCCCATTTGAGGACCTTCAGCACAATATTGAGCAGGGCAGAACTGAGGGAGTGTCCCCACACCAATAATGCTGCCAGCTAGATGTTAAGTCAAAGCAGTATCTGCCCCCTGAGGTGGGTGTAAAATATCTATGATCCTGGTGTTAGTACGGCACAGCAGGATGCCATTCAGTCCATGACAGCTGTCTATGGAGCAACCCAATCAGTCTCATTCCTTTAGTCTGGCTGCAGGTTTATTTTCCTGAAGTGTTGATTCTGTTTCCTTTAAGGTTTGTTAATTGTTTCTGCTTCCACCACCTCAAGGGCAGCAACATATGAACAAACCATTAACAGTCATTGCAAAATAAAGTTCCTTCCCTCATACCCACTTGTCACTCTGGCACAGAACCTTAAAATGTACCCCCTGGAGCTTGATGGCAACAATTTTTCTTTGGCTACCCTACCTGTCATGTACATCTTTATTAATTTTTTCCTCAAAATCCTTTGCTCCAAAGGAAAGAACACCAACCTTTCTAAACTAATCTTTTTGCCAAATTCCCTCATCCCTGGAACCATTCTGGTGTAAATCTGCTCTACATCTCAAAGATCTTCTCATCCCTACTAAACTCTGGTGATCAGAACTGGATGCAGTACTCTATGACATAACCAGAGCTTTATAAAATATAATTTATCTGCTCTTGTGCTCTACATCTCTATTTATAAAGATCTAATATAGTCTGCTTATTATGGTCTGAATTTAACCTGCCACCTTCAAAGATCCTTATTTCCCACTACTGCCTTTAATTTTGTAGCCCTTAAGTCTATATCACCTCGCACTATCACTTCTCTGCATTAAACTCCATTTGTTGCCTGTCGCCCCAATCTGCTGAGTAAAAACTAAAAGAACTGTGGATGATGGAAATCAGAAACAAAAACAGAAATTGCTGGAAAAGCTCAGCAGGTCTGGCAGCATCTGTGGAGAGAAATCAGAGTTAATCTGAGGAGGAATCACTGGACCCAAAACGTTAACTCTAATTTCTCTCTACAGATGCTGCCAGACCTGCTGAGCTTTTCCAGCAACTTCTGTTTTTGTACCCAACCTGCTGGCCTGTCTGAACTGTTACAGTTGATTGGTGTCATCTTCACTTGTCTGTGACCCCTCAGAATTTGGAATCATTGACACATTTTCAACTGTTTCTCATTTTCCAATCTCCCAAGTTGTATCCATCCCAAAAAATTCCTGCCGAGGTCCTAACGTCGAAATCTGGAAAATGCCAGCATCTACTGCCTTCCGGTCTGAAAAACAACCATTTACCACAACACACTGTTTTATGTCCTGAAGCCAATATTTTGAAGAAGAACCAGTGGCATTTTCCCTGACCCCATGACAAATATTTGTTTGCCAACCAATATAACTAAAGTCGTTGATCTGATCATTATCACATTACCTATCATTTTTCTACATTACAACCGTGACTACATTGGCTAATATCCTGGCATCATGAACAATGCTTTATAAATGTAAGTTGTTTTTTCCCTTGCTCTGAACAAAGTCTCTCTGTGTCACTCACTGACAGCTTATGCCAGAAATCCCAGCTTATTGATCTAGTGGCAAATGGACTGTGGGAAAATCTGCTCGATGAATTTCAGCCTAAGATTGTAGTGAGTGATTGGTAAGTATTGTACCTGCCATACCATAATACTTGATTGGCTATCAGTGAAATGAACTCGTAGCGGGGTGAGAACAACGAAAGCATTAAAGGCCACGTACAGCAAAATGTCCAGACTAAACACTAAATTGGAAAAGTGTATAAATCATTCATATATATTAGTAATGAATAGCCAGAGGGAACGAAAGTGACAGCAAGTGTTAAACAGTGTAGTTTGGGAGATGAGTCGTCATCGGCAAATACGTGTGTTGAATGGTTTCTTACTGTTGAAAATTTTATGTAAACTTAGTGGTTCTGGACAAGATTATGCCTGACCTGCTGTGTCAATGTATTGTCCTGAGCTAGTATTGGAATACCATCCTGCAGGTATGCAGCAAGACGGGACTGTGGCTGTGTGTATAGTTTGGAGGTGAAGCTGCTCTCTAAAAGTAAGACCGTCCTCAAGAGGTACAAATCAAAGGAGATCAAAATCCCACAGTGGAGTGATGCGAAATGGAACCAGGTACTCATTTGCGTTTGACTCCATTTTCTTTGTCTAGAGTTCCCTCACCTTTACAGCTTCTGTAACTAGTTGACCTTTGATTACTGTGTGAATACTGTGTCAAACAGCGATGGTGTCCAAGATAGCTACTGCCTTCCAATCTCCTATTTCCCTTGTTTGTCCTCAACACCATCGCTCCCTCTCTCACTCCACATTGCTCTTCCCTGTTTCCCTTCTCCACCTTCCCTCAGATTTCCCCTTACTGTGAGTCTCTATTCTCAACATAGGCCAGCTAGTTGACTACAAAGGTGTTTAAAGTTGTTTCAGAGAGATAGTAGGAGCTGCAGATGCTGGAGAATGAGATAACAAGGTGTAGAGCTGGATGAACACAGCAGGCCAAGCAGCATCAGAGGAGCAGGAAAGCTGACGTTTCGGGCCTAGACCCTTTGTTCCTTTTCTTCTCCATGGTCTACATGTGCTTTCAGGAGATGGGCATCCAAATGTACGTGATGATACTCAAGAGGTAGTAAGAACTGCAGATGCTGGAGTCAGAGATAACTGACTGGAGGAACACAGCGGGCCAGGCAGCATCAGAGGAGCAGGAAAGTTGACGGGTCCTGACCCAAAACTTCAACTTCCCTGCTCCTCTGATGCTGCCTGGCGTGCTGTGTTCCTCCAGCTCCACACTGTGTATGTGATGATACTATGGCTTTAACAAGTGAATTTCATCCTTTTTTTTATGAGGAAAGTTTGAGACAGAGGTACCAAGCAGTCTGCTCCAAGTCAATAAAGTAAACAGCTTGTGAGGCTCTGGGTTTTTATTTATATAAAGTTGGAACAAAAGAAGCAGCATGAATGGGTGGAGTTAGGCTCCTACAGAACCAGGTTTCAGTTTAGCTTTCAGCAGTTGCTGGGATCTTGAAGCTGGATGTGAAAGCTGTTATTCCGCTCTCTGTTAGAGCTAAAAGCTGGGATTCCCTCTGATGCGAGAAGTGCGTATAAGACAATCTAATTTACTGACTTTACCTTTGCCAAGGGTGTGTTTATGGGATGTTACTGTATTGGAACAGTCGCTGTTTAGTAGTTAAATAATCAATTATTCTGTTAAGTTTTCCAACAGAGTTAAGTTAGACCAGTTCTTCTGTCTTTTGTTTGTATTTTAACGACAGGATTAGAATAAAATGTGTTTTGCTTCAAGCCAAGTAATTAGATCAATCAAATTGCATCTGGAACGCAACACCTTACACTTGCCCTCAAATTAAAAAAAAGTTATGGTTTTTAGGGGGTTTGATCTGGTCCATAATACTTGGATACAAAGTGATGGTACCAGTTGTATCACCACCATTGCTGCCCTGGTGGAAATCGAATCATTTAGCACAGACTGGGAGTCGGACCTGCGACTGTGTTGCTCTTTAGTGCTTTAGCTTTCTATTTAAATTCCTATCTGCACCCTGTGAAAACAAGGATATACATGCGAATCATTCATTCACGTGCTATTATAACTGGTGATACTTCTTGCGTTACAGTTGACCCATGTTTTTGAAGCCTATGGTCGTGGTGTTCGTTTTGTTTGGTTTTCACATAAAGGGCAGGACACACAGTTCTGGGCAGGATGGTACGGAGTACGAGTCACCAACAGTAGTGTTACCGTAGAACCGTGAATATACTGAGACTAGACTCCAACTAGATGAAGAAGACCAAATATTTTCCCAAACTGTAAACAAGAAACAAAATGCCACAGATGCTGGAAATCTGACAAATTTCTGGAAAGACCAGGAAAAGCCAGAAAACACTCAGCAAATGTGGCATCTTCTGTGAAGAGAATAACAATTAACATTTCAGGAGAGTTCTGATGCAAGACTTTAATATCAATTGTGTTTCTCTCTCTGTAGAAGCTGCTCAACATGGTGGATGTTTTCTAACATTTTTGTCTTTATCAAAGGGTTTACAAATTATGTTTGCACCTTTGATATGAGAATATCGCTGATTTCACTTTATTATTTCATCAACTGCCAGGGGAAACTGTCACTTTTTTGATGGTTATTTTCTGCAGTGGGTCGAAATAACATGCCATGAGATGTCAAAAAAGGCACTGACATGTTTATTGCTAACTTTGATCTGTTGATCCCAGAGATTCATCTAGAACCTAGCTTCACTTGCACTGAACCGGGTAAACTGAACTGGACTGGAAAAACCTGGTCGAAAGAAGACATGAAAGAAAGATTGTCAGAGGAAGCTGATCCTTTTTCAGATTGAAGGGGAAGTGCTTCAGGCAAATCTTATTAAAGATGTTGTCCCCATTTGTGAGTGGTTTGCACTGGGTGGTCTTCCAGTTCAGACAGGTGAGTGGAATCTCTCTTGGACCCTGAGAGCTCCATACCTGTTAAAAGAGCTGGAAGGTTAAATCCCTCAAACCCAGGAGCCTTCATTGGAAAAGGAAACCATTTCTCAGAACACTGACTACTTTTAGAAGGTTTTAAATTTTTTCCACTGTTGCCAGCTGCATGTTTTGAAAAAAATAGTCCTTTCCCATTTATCGGCTTTGAGGTAATGAAAGCCAGGTTGCTGTTGAATCTGTGGGATTGATGTTGAGGTGTTTAAAGTTCATGATGTGGCCAGCACTGCTCCATCCCTTTGCCTCCAAACACCCCCCCGTCACTCACTTTAACAAACATGTTAATGTATCTTAAACGCTGGCTGGAGGAATCTCCTGGAATATAGCAGCACAATATAGGTCCAAATAATTTTTTCACTTGACTTATCAATTCAATTGATAAGTGACCCAATGTGTGTGGAATCCATTGTATTTTTGATTAAATAGTTTCTGATGGGAGTGTTTGTCCATTAACACCTATGCATTCCAAGCTTTCTTGAACTGGGTCTCCTTTGGTCCATTTGTTTCAACTTTGTTTGAGGCAAATACTTTGTATATAAAACAGTAAACTCACTTCAGTTTCCACACGACATACCATTGACATAGCTCACAGATCTGCATGGTTCCATTTTGTCTCTTCCCCATCCTCCTCTGACCACAGGAAAAGGAAAACCTTTTCCAACCACTTTTTAATCATGCAGAAGGTTTCACTTTCTTCATTTTGTGATGTTTTTGGGATGTAGTCTCTCAGTGCTGTTCATAATTAAAGGTGTTTTCCTTCTGTTTGCTGCTCTTTGAACCCTTATGTTCACCCATTTTTTTTTCGCCACCAGTGTAAATGGAAGGGTGGGCAGAGTGTACACATGTTGCTGTACCACATCTGGCAGAAATATCACGGACTGCAATTTTAACCTGTGAACATACTATGCTTGAGATTAACCTGCTTCAGTTGAACTGTGTTCATACATGCCAAATCACCAAATAGAGCATTGTTATTTTGTGAAAGATCCAGAGGTGCTTGTTGTCATTGTGAAATACACATTCATTAATTTCTGAGGTTACTCTGCTCTGTGATTGGTGGACTGGAGCCAAAAATCACAAAGCTTCTAGTCAACTGAAATAAAAACAAATTCGGCTTGAAACATACTACAGGCTGGTCTCTTTAAAGGGGTGACTGTGAACTTGTCTGTCTTATCATACACACTGGATTCCCGCCATGTGGTGAACTGGAGAGGCTGACCTGAATTAATTCATTGGCTCTTTTGGGCTCTTCATGGGTACAAACATAAATTTGTAAAATTGTCTTATTTTCGTAATTCGAGGAGCTTAAAATCTGTGTCTAAACTTCAATGACCATGGTGAAAGAGCTTTTGCACTGGTGAGACCTCACTGACTGACTGTAAGGATATGCTGTGGGCAATGCTGATAACCACCAAAGCATCAATATAGCTTGATTAAGATAAATCAATAGATGTCTTTCCTTCTGAATACGCTGTAAATGGGCACTATCTGTATTTGTCTCTGTTTGAGCTCAGTTGTTTTGTGCAAATGCCTTCTGTAAACTGTTATTGCAGAGATTATATGTAATAAAGTATTTGTTAAATACTCAAAACTAGTTCAAGTTTTTCTGAGTAGGTTAAATCAATAGCAATAAAGCAGCTAAATGAGGCATGTCCTTGGGAATAATTGTGCCTTAAGGCAGATTATTAACAAAATTAGTCATTCTGCTTCTCAGTCAATTAGATGTGACAAATCTTAAAACCTTTTTCCCAAAGTTTAAATAAATCTCCTAACATTTCTGACTTCTCAGGAGAATGTCACTGCTCTGATCTATTATTTGGACGTAGGAAAGGGATTTAGAATGTTTTAATGCACATTCAAAGGAGTTTCGTTTTAGTGACTGAATGCAGTGACATTGTAAATAAGTTTGGGAATTTTTCTCCATACAGGAAGCCCTCACTTAAAGGTTCCTGAAAGCCTTCTATGAACCAATGGCGAAATAGAAGTTGGGTTCTGTAGGACTTTGCTTATCAAAAATCCCTAGCCTTATACCCTTTTAAGTTTCAATACTTGACATTGCTAAGTTCCTGTATTGGTAAATAAAATATTTTTAAAAATGAAATAAGTTTAAAAGTATGAAAGAAAAATGCAACTTGCTATTCAGTATCTCCTTGTTGTCTGCCATCCTGCTTCTTGGATTTTTTTTTTCCTGATCCTTCTGGATGTTACAGACCTTCCCACTCCATTCTTGCAAGTTCAGGGCTTCTTCCAACCACCACCCTCCCTCCCTCTCCACCCCCGCCAAAGTTGTGAGCTGTCCTGTTCCTCGATCTCCCTCTCTCTGCTTTGGTTTCTTGGACTTGTGTTGCCATTCAAAGCCCAGATCCAACCTGAAGCCGGAGCGTTAATGATGTGGAGGTGAGAATCCTGATGGTGTAGAATTGCTGGGGCTTTTACAATCCACTTCTTAAAAGTCTGTTTCTGTTTGTTCGTCTCCTCTCCTGAATCCTCAGTGGGAGGATAGAGAAAAAGGGCAGCATTGAAAATAATTGAAGAACATCATGGTTAGCAAAAGCTCCACCTAAAAATCCACTATTTACTGAAACTTTGTCCAAACCACACACCCTTAAGAAGTGAATTGGGATCATTTTCAGTTACAAGTCTCACCTGGAAGACAATACCTCTGGCAGTGCAGCAACTCGACCATATTGCACTAAAGTGTCAGCCAAGATTCTGTGGCTAAGTCCTGCAGTAGGGCTTGTGCCCGCAGCTAATAAAATGCAACAGTGTGACCGCTAATTCATGACTACTATCAATTGCAATGTCACCCAAAGGATTGATAGAATGGGTGATGTAGCAAGTGGAAATGGTGCTAACTATCTCCTCTTCTGAGGTTGGGTCTGATGCACATTTTTGGCTAGAGGGTGGTGAGGGAGATTTACTGTACATTTAACATTATGATAGTGGATCTGAAAATAATTGGTGCGGATAATGGGTAGTGAAAATGGAAAGTACCCCAGTCTCAATACTAATTTAGCAAAAAAAATACGAAATTCATATCAACAAGAAAGCAGTTGGCCTTCCATACTGCAGTTCTCAGGGAAACTCTCATGCTATGTATTCAACTCTGAGTTAGTCATTAACAGCGCAAAGGAAAGCTGAGCCTGAGGAGGTTAAAAATTAACTTTAATTGAAGATCCATCAGGGAAACCTAACATATTGTGGGTGAAGGAATACTGGACTGTGATGATAAAACTAGCATAAGAACTGAAATCAGAGCAGGAATAGGCCATTTATTTCTTCAAGACTGTCCTGGCTTCCATCAAGATCATGGCTGATCTTTCCCAAGCCTCAACTCTTTCAAGCCAGCTCATTGTAGCCCTGAGCTCCCTGATAGTTCAACCTCCTCTTGAAATATTTTCAGTGATCCACTCTCCACAACTCCCTGGGGTACAGAATTCCAGGCATTCACCACCCTCTGGGAGAAGAAATAACTTCGATCTCAGTCTTAATTCAGTGTCTCCTTAGAGTCCCTTGCAAATGGAAACATCATCTCAATATCTGCCCCATCAAGCACCTTTAGAATCTTGTATCTTTCAGTGCGGTCACCCTTCCTTCTTCCAAACTCCAATGAATAAAGGCTGAACCTGTTCAGCCATTCTTGATAAGTCAACTCCTTTGTCCCAGGAATCTGCCTAATGAATCTCTCTTGAACTGCCTCCAATTATTTTGTCTGTCCGCATGGAAGAAGATGCAGAAAATCTCTCAAACATATTCCATCTCAGCCTCCTCTTGAGGTACCCAGCATGAAATGTCAGCTTTCAACTGATTCATTTTACTCCATGTGATATCAAGAAATGACTGAAAGCATTGGATATTACAAAAATGATTGGCCCTGACAACATTCCAGCAATAATCCTGAAGACCCGTGCTCCAGAACAAGCCAAGCTGTTCATTCAGCTACGTTACTGGCATCTACCTGACAATGTGGAAAAGAAACAGAACATATTAAGACCAGTGATCAGTCAGTAGCAGTTTATCGGACCGATACAGCTTTTATTCATCCTTTTTTACAGATTTAGCCTCAGGTTCAAATCTCATAACTGACTATCTCACATTCAAACGTTTGAATAATTTTGACTGTAACAGATCACACCATACATACAATCAGTTAGACATTAGGTTTATTCATTTTACATACGGGAGCATATATTTCAATGTAATAGCTCTTATTTACCATGAATGACATTTATCCTCATATCTGGACCCACTGTTTTCATGTGTCTCTTTATTGACCAAAATATATTGTTTATTGCTGTCCTTTGCCTGTTAGGCTTACAATTACTTCCTGCAGCTAATACAAAGACTTCACAGATGAAGCTAGCCTGCTACTCTGGAATCTCTGTGTTTCCTGTAGGCCGTCTGATGCTGCAGAACAACAGATCTTCAAAGGCGATGGTTTAAAATCCGAGTTTGAAAGAAATATGTTTCTTTGGAAAATGGATTTTGCAAATGTGTTGAAGTGCTAAGGTGCTAGGAAAAGGAGCCTGTTAATTATTACTTGTCCATTAAATATAATACACCATAATTATTTGCTAATCGGATTGAATAGGTTTGTTGGTAGATTTAGAGCGTGTACATCCAATGATAGTCGTTCAAATCTGATTAATGCAAATTACTTTCTCAATCACTCAGTAACATTATTGATTGGCTTGAAAATTGATCGTTTTTTTTCTCTGGTAAACTCTAGCAGACTGTCTCAGGACACCTTACATCCTGTTTGCCTCAAATTAGCACAGACATGGATGACAGCACAGAAATGTAAGAATAGTTCACACTCTGAGTTGCATAGCTATTGGTTAGTGATTGTGTCACATGGATTCTTCACCTGGTTTTGTACATTTAATCCAAACCGAACAGACTAAATAGGGCAAGGCAGTGTGATGTAGTTCATTGTATCTATGGTTAGATAAAGTAAACTACTTGCCTCAGCTATTTTCCAAGTTGGTACTTAAAGCAGGACAGCCGTAAATTCATTTGCCAGGGGGGTGAAGGCAGGAGAGGAGAGGGATTTTCTTTGGCATTCTCCCAACCTTTGGCATTTTCCCAGCTTAGCTCCTCTGCCCGCTATTAATTATGCCACGCTATGTGCACCATGTTTAGCATAAACAGTATTAAACAAACAGCCTGTGCAATGACCCAGATCATTTGTACTGGGACCCGCTGGGAAATGCAGCTCATGCTACGCTAAATAAAACTGTTGCAAAAGTCAGTTCTGAAAGGATCAGGAGATGTGTTTTGAGGCAAGGTTATTGGTCAATGGTGACAGTGCTGTTGGTGACTCTGGCTCCATACCATCCCGCCCAACACTGTGAGTCCTTTCCTCCATGTGTAAACTTTACATATCGTACACCAGGCCCATAGTCTGTGAAAGTGTTTGATATCTGCAGAGAAGGCAAAATAATTCATTACTGAACCATCAAGTGGTAATAGTCACATTCAACAACAACTAGTCTTTATATAGCATCTTTTTACATATTAAACATCCCAAGGTAACAGGAATATTGAGGGAAGTGTGGCATTGTAATTCATTGCTGACCAGAGCTGTCGATGTCTCGTGAACCCAAAATGTTAAAGGTTGCATTTCTAACTAGAGGTATTTCTCCATTAACAACTCCTCTGCTTTAACCATAACTTTTGTCGTGTGTAAACGATAGATTTACTCATTTTTCGTTTACCTCCTTCCATTCTGCATCGCTCCACTGTGGCGCATGAATCATGTCAGTCTTATACTCCTGGATCTTGCTCATGTCTTCAGAGAGAAGCTCAACGTGTAGTTCATAGTCAAAACCAGAATCGTGCCTCCCTGCATACCTAGGGGTTAGAAGAACAATCATCGCTGGCAAACCTCTCAGAGACCATCTCAGTATTGAGACAGCATGATGTACTCATCAAATTTCACCATCTATCATGGTGGCATTTGAACCCATTGTCGTGGCTTCTGGATTATTAGTCCAATGACAATACCAGTACATCATGACCTCCCCCTGCACTGGATGGCATGTGTTTTCAAGTCAGCCAACTTCAGTCAAACCCAATCTAATCCAACCTGAAAACCCAGAATAGCCTAACACACAATTATTGAAGGTTCCTGGTCTGCACAGTCAGCATTAATCTATATGAAGCATTTAACCCCAAAGCTATGTTACAGTTTTGCAAAGTGTGTAAGGAGACAGTATCTGCCATTAAGACAACAAGGTGTAGAGCTGGA